AACGGAGCCATCTAATGGGTTTAGCAGTCTAAACCTTGTTTCCATCGCCATTCCTGTCCCTCTATGGGTCTGACTCTGTCCACAGGCTGGGAAAATTCACTAGTCCTCCCAGCCTGGAATGGAATTAAACTAGCTTTCACAGCCTGCAAGGAGACTCGGGAAAACGAACAGTAGGCGTCCCTGCAGAGGCATGACGGGCAGTCCCAGGAGGCCGAGGGCTGGGGCGGGGGGGGTGGGGGCGCTTACCTGGTGTCACTGAGCGAACGACCACTGGCTTTTCACTCCCCGCCACGAAGCCGAATCCCAGGACGGGGTCCCTCCGCATCTCCACCTTCCGCGGGGCCGGGGGAATGATCTGGCAGCTGTCCAACCGGGGGTCATCAAATGGGATTGCCTGTGTCATGTGACTGTGGGAGAAACACACACAAGAGAGACGAGGCATCAGTGTCTGCGGGCCGTGGCCCGGTGATTTCATCCTCTGCCTTTTCAAAACCTCCTACTCTGCTTGGTAGAAGAGCGCGAGAGAGAAACCTCCATGTGAGAGAGAAACGATGATCCGTTGTCTCCCATTCGAGCCCTGGCCAGGAATCGAACCTGCAACCTTTCGGTGTTTCTCTGGCTCTTAAGGAAGTCTTCACTCATGTGCATTATCCAAGGCAGCCTTATTTGAGGGGAGAGTTCTTAGTTAGAATTCTAGAAATCTCCTTAAAGCAATGTAAGCCAAGGTTACATTGATTATTTCAGCGACACAGACTTAACTCACTATTTTCTCTCTCTAATCTTCTTCAGTAAGTAAAAGCACATCATTTCGAACAAAATACCTGGAAAGAGGCCACTCTATCTGCCATCTGGACAACATATCGTTCAGATGCAATGAAGAAAGACGGAGAAGGAGGGTTCTGCGGTCCTCGTGTGTAATTAATAAGAGTTAAGGAGAATCAATGGCAACCCTCCAGGGTCTGGCCTTCAGACACATCTCTCTGACCAGGGCAATCAAGTTCAAAATCCCTTGGAAACGGAAACGTCTTTTCTACTTAGCAGCTTTGATCTGGAACGTCGGGGAAAAGAGAGCGTTTGCTGAGATCTGACACGAGGGCCGCGTGCTGACGCTCATCTGTCATCCTAGTTCATTTTCAGAAAATCCCCTTCTATGGAGCCGTTGACACCACCCACCTCCTGTCCGCAAATGACAAAAGGAAGAATAACTGGGCCAAGTTCACTCTTCTCAGGTGTGAGCCAGGTGCAATTCCCACCACATCTTCTGATTCTAAGCCAGTGGTTCTCAACCTTCTGTTTCTCATGTTGTGACCCAACCATAAAATTATTTTCGTTGCTACTTCATAACTGTCATGTTGCTACTGTTATGAATCGTCATGTAAATATCTGATATGCAGGATGGTCTTAGGCGACCCCTGTGAAAGGGTCGTTCAACCGCCAAAGGGGTCTCGACCCACCGGTTGAGAACCGCTGTTCTAAGTGTTATGCAAGAACAGCGCAAAATGAAACCGTGGGGCCCCTTGTGAACACACAGTTAGGAACGTCCCGAGAGCTGAACGTGGCCTTGTGTCAGTGCTTGGGTCACACCCATGAAGCTGGCCCTGGGGGTGTGCTACCCCCAACCATTCTAGAAACAGCCAGGCTCACAGGGTGACAAGGCAGGTGTTGGTCTGGGCCCAGAGAGGAGACATGACTACCGTGGCGGCACACGTCCTTGGCAGGAGGGGACGTGGGCAGACCTCAGGGGGGCAGGTCACGTGGAGAAGCATGGTCCTCCAGCCCAGTCAGTGTGGCTCCGTGGTTGAGCGTGGACCTATGAACCAGGAGGTCACGGTTCGATTCCCAGTCAGGGCACATGCCCAGGTTGTGGGCTTGATCTCCAGTGTGGGGCATGCAGGAGGCAGCCGGTCCATGATTCTCTCTCATCATTGATGTTTCTATCTCTTTCTCTCTAGAAGACTACCATACTTCTTTAATATATATATTATAAATATATATATTAAAGAAGTATGGTAGTCTGAAGGACAGAACTCAAGACCCTGATTTAACCAGCAAAACCCATCCAGAGTGAACCCCGGTGTCCAGGGTGGGAGCCTCAGACAGGTCCCAGGCAGGGAGGGGCTGAGATATAGGAAACACGTGGGGAAGTCAGGGCTGGGAACCAGGACAGCGGGAGGACCCCTGATGTCCCTACAGCAGCCCGTTGGGCGAGAACTTGACCTCTGACATCACCCCCTGACATTGATCCCTCTCGGGCCTGAAACAGGCAGGGCTGCGTGTGCCTGGGGGAGATTGGGGCCCCGTTGGGGTGGTAGCCCTCATTCCATTCTCTTGCGTCCTCTGTAAGAGTTCCAGCTCAGAGCCACCTTGGGAAATGAGTCTCTCCTTTTATCCCGGGATGGAACAAAGGAAAAAAGGGACGGGAGAGCCCCATTTTTGGAGCCTGGCCCTGAGCTCTGAGTTCGCACCATAGTCCATAGAAGACATGCTCTACATGAGCACAGAAGTGAAGTGATTGGCTAATAGTCGCGTGTTGAAGAACAGAGCACGGAACCCTGGTGGGCGGAACTGTCAATTCCAAGAGTAGAGAGGGCCTGGGGCGACTGCTCCGCTGCCATGGCCAGTTCTGTGAAAAGCTTCCAAGCTTTTCCACAGTTGCCAGGCTTGGCTGCACATTACAGTCACCCAGGAAGCGTTAAAAGTCCTGATGCCCAAGTTTCACCGCAGCCAACCACATCAGCATAGCTGAGGGCGGCAGCCAGGATCCATGCTTATATATCTTTATTTTTATTGTTATTTTTAAAATATATTTTTATTGACTTTAGAGAGGAAGGGAGAGGGAGAGATAGAAACCTCAATGGTGAGAGAGAATCATGGATCCGCTGCCTTCTGTACGCCCCCTATTGGGGATGAAGCCCACAACCTGGGCCTGGGCCCTGACCGGGAATTGAACCATGACCTCCTGGTTCCTAGGTCGATGCTCAACCACTGAGCCACGCCGGCTGGGCCAGGATCAATTTTTAAGAATATTCCCCAGGTGATTCCAAAGTAGAGCAAGGTTTGGGGACCACTCTCCTGCCCAGGGAAGGCTGGGGTCCAGTCCCCCCTCTAGATTTTAAGAGGACACAAGTGATGAGCTCCTCTAGCATCCATCGGAGAGGTAAGTGGAAATACTGGAAGCATCTGTAGCTCCATTATCCTCTTGCCACTACATGCTAGTCTGCAATTTTTAATTCCCCATTCATAAACTCTCTATTATATCATTATTTTAGTAATACCCGGCACTTATTAAATACTAATTTCATGCTATGCATTTTACGAAATGCTTTCCATATGTTAGTTCATTTAATTCTCCCAAACAACTTCATAATGCACTCATTTCATTAACACCTATTTCTTGCACGCCCACTGGATTCTCAGTTCGGGGGATACACTAGGAACGCAAACAGAATCACAAAATAATTTGTTCACTCCAGTGTTCCGAGGCAGAGACTAAACTAATAAAGGAGTAGGATGTATGGCCTATCAGGTCATTAGCAACACGAAGGAGAAAAATAATGGGGGAGGAAGCGTAGAGAGCTGCTGGGGGAGGGGGAGGGAGAGGGGGAGGGTACCGCAGTGTGATGTCAGGGGTCAGGGAAATGCCTGAGGAGGAGCCTTTCCGGCAGTGGGACCCCCAAGTGCAAAGGTCTGGAGGGGTCCCAGGCCTGGAGTGAGCATGCGTAAGGGACAGCCCAGAGGCCAGTAACAGGGGAGGCTGGAGGCAGTGAGGGGGGACGGGTAAAGAAGTGTTTGGGGGAGCCCGGACGGCGTGGCTCAGTGGTTGAACATCGACCTATGAACCAGGAGGTCACGGTTCAATTCCCAGTCTGGGCACATGCCCGGATTGCTAGCTCGATCCTTAGTAGGGGGCATGCAGGAGGCAGCCAATCAATGATTCTCTCTCATCATTGATGTTTCACTCTCTCTCTCCCTCTCCCTTCCTCTCTGAAATCAATACAAAAAAAATAAAGAAGTGCTGGGGGGAGATCAAAGGTCACACAAGCTCTGGGAAGGACTCGATGTATTGCTGTGAGTGAAATAGAAGCCATTGGAAGGTTCTGTGTGAAGAATGTGATAGCTGCTGTACTGAGAACAGACAGGAGGGGGCGCTGGTGGGAGCAGGGAGAGCACTGCAGGACGCACTGCATCAGTCCTAAGGGAAGAAATATCACGCTGGCTTGGACCAGGGTGAAGGTAGCAGAGATGGCAAGGAGTTGTTGGGTTTTTCACATGTAGAGGCGGCTGTGAAAGAGCAAGGGGGGGGGGGATTTCTACTCTGGAACCTTCTTCCTGCACACACAGGGCATCCCGGTAAGGATCTATCTGTGAGCACGTTGTCTAATGCAAGTCCTATGTCCTGATGTATCCAAATTACAGGAGACATTTCTCTCCAAGGAGCTAATACTTCCGCGTTTGCACAGGAAACATAGACATGCTTGGGCCTAGGGCCCAGTGGTCGGCAAACCGCACCTCGCGAGCCACATGCGGCTCTTTGGCCCCTTGAGTGTGGCTCTTCCATAAAATACCGACTTCTGCGCATGGGCCACTAAGTTTCCATCGCACTGTACGTGCGCACCCGCACGTGGTGTTTTGTGGAAGAGCCACACTTAATGGGCCAAAGAGCCGCATGTGGCTCGCGAGCCGCAGTTTGCCAACCACGGGTTTAGGCAAACCTGAAGTCCGAGATGCTAGTTCAGAGTGAGACTTGGGAGCCAGACTCCCTGGATTTGGAGCTGGGCCCCATCACCTCCTAGCCCTCGACCTGTACAACGTACTACATCACTCGGTGCCTCAGTTTCCACATCTGGAAAATGGTGACAATAACAGTAACAATCGCATAAGAAGGTCGTGAAGTTAGATGAATGAATAAATGTAAAGCACTTAGCACAATGTGTGGCTCACAGTGAGCAAGAAGCACTAGCTGTTCCTTTCATCTCTTGAGGTCCATGAATAAAAAGGAATCGGTTTCAGACATCATCCACTCATTCAATCTTGTTAAAATATGAAAACAAACTCAATAACGTTTCCAATACCTAAGCCCAATTCTCAGGGAAATGCCTCACAAACGCGGCGTAAGCTCCGAGGCCTTCAATTGGAAAAATCAGATCAAGTGCGGTGACACATTAAACACAAATTTAAGTTGATATCTGTGAAGCAATATGTCCCCGATGACAGGAGACAGCAAGCAAGAATAAAACGCGCTCTCTGGAGACTGAAGCGCTGGTAGTAAGTTTTCCTCAGCCATGTTTCTGGATCACTTCAGTGAGCGCTCAGTCCAGGGCCGGGGAGTGAGCCCGAGGCATGGGGAAATAAGCCAGTCGGAGAAAGATAACTATCACATGATCATTTGTGGAATCTAATGAACAAC